TTGTTCTGGTAGCTTAAGAAACTCCTTCAGAGGCCAAAACAACCTGTCCCCTCACCATGTCTATGGTCTCTCATCAGTCACAAATGCCCAGTCCTGCTGACAGCGGTGTGGTTTAGAGTGTCTCTATCAGCGACGCAGAACAAACTTCTTTGTTTGGTTGGTAAAATGGGTGATAATCACTCCGTCAAAGTGAAGCTGAGGCCTGTCAAGGGACCACTGGAGACAGGCAGGGTTCTGGGTGCTCATTATAGGTTTGCAGGATTTGAACCGTCAGCTGCAACAGCAAGGGCTACAGGGAGGTATTGGGAGGTGAGGACACGACCAGCCACATTCCTGCCTCTGGCTGGCTGTATGGCCTCAGGCAAGTCCCATCTGTAAAATGAGAGACTGGACTGTGATTCCCCAAGGGCCTTCTCTGCCTTAATTTCAGAGGTTAATCTCAGTCAGTTCCGCATTCCAGGGGCCTCCAGGGTATTGGGATACAGCATGAAGCAAGCAAGGGCTCAGAGTTGATGGAGGAGGCAGAGAACATAGTTGTTTACCAGGAACTATCACAGTACCAGCACAGCATGAAAGGCTTACAAAAGGCTTCCCTCGGGACAGGAAGAGCCATGACAACTGGCACTCAGTGTGACATTCCTTAGAGCCTCCCAGATTCTCTGGCACTGGACTCTTCCCTAAGCATTTTTAGGAATACAATTACTTGTGACCACTCCAGTCCTGCCAGAGATGGACTGCTCCCATTTTGCAGATGGGGAAACTGAAGCCCAGAGTGTCAAAGTGGATTGCTAGAACTTATACTACAAGAGGCCAACTAAGTTTTCAAGTCCCCAAAGGACCCATGTCTGGGCTCTTTCAGCAGTCCTACAGATGCCTGGAGCTGAGAAAAAAGCATATGACCCCCAAGGTCAAACTTCACAAATGAACATGAAACCCATGGAGAGATTGTTCCTTTTTGCCCCTTCAAGGTTTTCTCTTCTCCTTGTCCCCCACCCAGACCACAAGTCCCAGAGGGCCATGAGATTTCTGTTATGTCTCACAGAGTTTAGACCAGAACACAGAGCAGGGACTTGCTCAATGTAGATTAAAAGCAAATATTTGGAATACTATGCAGTCATAAAAAAGAAGTTATCTCTTTATAAAGTGGTAGCAAATGGTCTCAAAGAAGTGAAGAAAACACAAGGTGTACAATAGTGTGGACTGTATGCTATCATGTCTGGGAAAATAAGAAAAAATATAAGCATGTGCATTCATCCACCCACCCACCCACCTATCCATCCGTCCACCCATCCATCCATCTCCCTGTCCTTATATCCATCTACCCACCCACCCACCTATCCATCCCTCCACCCATCCACCTGTCCATCCATCCATCCATCCCCTGTCCATATATTCATCCATCCATAATATATATATATATATATATATATATGCACAAAATACACTGGGAACAGAGTGTGCTTGGCTACATTGGTCCCTTTAGGATGAGGACCAGGTGGCCGAGGGGCAGGGGTGGGAAGGCACTTTTCATCCTGTATTCTTCTGTATGTTTTGAATTTTGAACTGTAGACAAGTATTACCTATTTGCAAACAAAGTAATAAACATTTTAAAAGTTGAAATCGTCAAATGGGCTTGCTACTTTGAAAAATGAACCATACGATGGTGTACATGAGGGGGTGATGTTTCCTATATGCAAATCATTACCAAAATTTCCCAGGGTGCACTGGAACAATCCTAGAAAGCCAGGGTCGTGTGGGGAAGAATGGTGGAGCTGGCAGGTAGAGGGGCCTGACTGCTTCCCCAGCCAGCAGGGTGTTTTGCTCCTGAAAAATGTGACTTGACTCCACAAAGGTTCATGGAGCTTTTTGACTGGACACATGGACATCAAGATGTGAGCTGTGCCCAGCAGATGAGAGACCTCACTTTGTACTTGGCACAGTGGTCTCCGTAAGCAACCATGGTGGCCATAAAGTTGATTCTCCAAAACAAAGCACTTGCAGAATGGCAGGGAGTGCTGTGAATAACCACACCTGGACAACAGGAGCAAATGAGACCTCCCAGGAAAACTGGGACTCTCTTACCACCAAAACTTCTATCATCAGAGCTGGGTGCAGTGCCATGCACCTGTAGTTTCAGCTATTCAGGAGGCTGGAGCAGGAAGACCAATTGAGCCCAGGAATTTGAGGCCAGCCTGGGTAACACAGCAAGACCTTGTCTTAAAAATAAATAAAAGGTCAGGTACCAGTGGCTCATACCTGTAATCCCAGCTACTCAAGAAGCAGAGTTTCGGAGGATCCTGGTTTGAGGCTAGCCCAGAAAAAGTGTTGTGGAGACCCCATCTCAATATAGCTAGGTGTGTGGTGGCATGCACCTGTCATCCCAGCTATTTAGGAAGTGTAAATAGGAGGATTTTGATCTGGGCTGGCTGGGGCATGAACTTGAGACCCTATCCCAAAAATAATTAGGAAAAAGGGCTAGGGTGTGGCTCAAGTGGTAGAGTGCCCATTGAGCAAAAGAAAGGCCCTGAGCTCAACCTCCAGTATCATAACAAATATTAATAAATTAAATATAAATAAATAAACCAAAAATCCTATCACTAAGAAGACATTTTGGATGATGGTCCTACAGAGGAATGTGGTGTGATTTTGCTTCTCTTGCTTTCCTCCCCGCTGTGCTGCCCCCTCCTGTATACACTGCCAATGATGGTCTGCAGGCTTTGGATAAGCCCCATGCAAGTTCTGCCTGCGTGCACACTACCTTACTCTTCTGAGCCTCAGTTTCTCCATGTGCACACCATAAATCCTGACCCCTACCTGAGAGGTGCTCCACAGCGGGCCAGGGTTTCTCTTCCCCTTGGGCAGAGAAATAATGAAACCACTCAGCCTAATCCGGAAACTCCCTGGGGTGGCAGACACAGCCTTTCTCCTGGACCACATTCACAGCTGCGGCCACGGAGGGAGTGAACCTCGTGGTGCTCAGGGACGCAGTCATTCTAATTCTGGGAGTCTTTTTGCAGTGACTCATTGTGGGACTCACTAAAAACTCCTTTGAGTTCAAAACAAAAGTTGAGTGGGGCTCTGGGTGCATTGTTCCTTCTCCCATTGCCACCACCCCCCCCCGACCTTGGCTGGTGGTGTACCCCACAGAATTTGAAGGTCTCTGGGCAGACGGAACCTAATTCCTATCCCCTGCCCCCTAGCATGTCACCAGGCACTGAACCATCTGCACAAGACCCAGTCCAGAGGGAAGGAAGTGTGGGTGAACAAGAGGAAGGCCAGAAAAATGGGGGTGGGGGTGATTTCTCCTGCCTCACATGACTCCAGAAACCTTAAGGCCTCACACCCCTCTCATTCCCAAGGGACGGGGGAGGAGTGGACAGGGCCCCATAATTCCCCAGATATTCAGCCACAGCCATCAGCTGGCCCGAGGTCAGACAGCCTCTGTGGGAGATCACTGGCTATGTGATCTGGGACATGTTGCCTGACCACTTGGAGCCTCCGTTTCCTAGCTGGAAAGTGAGGGCCCGGTGAAGCCAGGGAAAGGCTTTACAAACAGTAGAATCCTCTGCAAAAATGGGGGGCCCCAGTCCCCTTTCCAGCACACAGTGGGCCTCTAGTCACTCCCAACTCCCTCATACAGGCCTGTGCTCAGTGTGCCCTCACCCCCATGAAAAGACCCCTGCCCTGCCTAATGTTCTCCACTGAACTGACTGTCCCCAAAATGCCAGACATTGCCGGGGTCCTCCTCCTGCCCCTCCCCTAGGAGAGTCAGAGCTACATTGCCTTCACTACTGGATCCCATGCCTCCTGGAGATCTGGCACCTAGAAAATGCTCAGAGGCCTGTGTCAGGTGAATGAATGAAACGTCTGTGACGTGAACAAGGCCCCTATCACTGATCCCCGAGCAGCCCTGCCAGACAGTCTTAGAACTTCCATTCCTTCCTGTTAGTTTCTGCAATGTTTATTTCTTGTGTTTAACTTCTTGGTCTACGTGAAATTATTGTGGCTCGTGTCTGGGAGGATGCAAACGGACCCTTAACTAAATAGCTAGACCGTTTGCAGATGATCCATTTCCCTGCATTGGTTTGTGACACCTGCATTTTCATCATCAACGGCTGGGACTGGCCTGGCCCCTCTGGGTTGGCTGCCCCTTCATACATCAGCAGCACAAGTTACTCTGTTCTCAAGGTCAAGGTCAAGGCCCGGCTGTCTACTGGTCAGACACACAAAGCATTGCAATCAAACAATCTGCCCACCTTCCAACTCAACCACTCACCACTTTGGACACCACTTTGGGCACTTGGTGCTTTTCTAAGCTTCAGTTCAAAACCTCATTAACCCCATGTGTGAAATGGGCAGAGGGTGGCATGAGCCTCCTTCATAGAGCCAAGGTGGGACTGAACACCCAGGGCAGGCAGAGCACAGCTGCGGTCTCTGCGGAAGGGCAGGTTGTGGCTTCACTGTTAGGGACCACAATGTGCTCAGGCACCGCCACTTCTGGGCCTTCTACCCTGGGCCTACCACAGCACTGTGACCACTGGGCAGCTGGCAGGTGGTCAGTGTCCACAGATGAGCTGGGGATATGGGGCAGGGAGCAAGGCCTTCACCTCATTCAGATACCCCTTGAGCCTTCTTCAGAGACTGCATTCAGCTGGCGCACAATAAGTACTTGGGCTAATTTCAGCCGGATTAAGGCTGGAGTGGGAGCATTGTTAACTGATGGGGACCCCCAGGACGCGTGAGAGGGGTTCAGAGTGGCTGACACCCCACCCCGAAGAGGGGGTTTGGTAGCCTGGACTTGCTGGGCCTCAGTCTCCTCCCCCCTTCTGAAGTGGGTTGCGCACAGTCTAAGGGTCGGGGCGTGGGGCGTGGGGCGTGGGAGGGTGCAGCGCGGCGCCCCCCAGCCTGCGTGGCGGCAGCGCGCACGAGCGCAGGGGGCGGCGCGGCCCCGCGGCGGGGAGGGGCGGGAGGTGCGCGCGGGCGCGAGCAGGCGGCGGCGGAACCCGGCGGACGAGAGCGTGCGGCCGCGGCGCCGCCAACGCCAACTCGTGTGGGACCCTCGCTCCCGCCGGCCGCCCGCTGTCTGTGCGCCGTCCTCCGCCTGCAGCCGAGCCCGCCGCGCGCTGGTGAGTGACCCGGGACCGGGCCGGGCCGGCTCGGGCCGCGCGGGCCGGGGAAGGGGCGGGCGGGGGGTAGGGGCGGGCGCGGGGCCGTCACCCACGGCGGCCCGGGGTGGGCGCGTGCGCGCGCGTGCCCGGGAAGGCCCGGGGAGCGCACGCGTGAGGCGGGTGTGCGCGTGGACGCGCGAGGCCGAGTGGGTCGGCGGCGGGGCTGCGGGGCGGCGAGTGGCCTGGTGTCCCTGCGGTGTGTGCTCGCTGGACTGCGTGCGTGTGCACATCGGACAGGCCGGCTGTGCAGTGTGGCGTGAATGAGTGTGGGGAGATGGCCAGGCCTCCCGTGGATCCGTTTATCGAGGGTTTACAGTGGGCCACGCGCTGGACCAAGTGTGGGTCTTGGAGTCTGTGTGCGCCCACGTGTCTGAGTGTTCCCAAGTGATCGCGTGCACACGTGTGAGCCTGCGAGGGCAAAAGTGTGCAGATGGGCATGTGAGTGTGCAATTTGTATGAGTGTGAGCGTATTCCTTATCCAGGTTGAGCAATCCCTCCTCCCCCCAACCAGGCCAGTGTGTGTGTGTGTGCCATGCGCTGGGCCGGGGATTGACCCAGATGACACAGAGCCAGAGAGCAGCAGGCCTGATGGGGGACCCTGTGGGGGGATGAACCACAGAGCCTGGCAGGGTACAAGCTTTGGAGCCCAGCCTTGGCAGGACCCTCCTTGGCCACACAGGCTGGGCGGGGGCTGTGCTGGGCACGGGCTGTGCTGGGCACCTCATCTGGGCACCAGAGGACTTGTGTTCAGTTTTCCTTCCTAAATGCTGTCTGAGTTCCCTGGCTTTGTTCTTGGCTCTTTCCAACCAGGTCAGATTTTGACCCTATCCCAAGGCCTGGGGCTGAGATCATAGGGAGACCAGAGACCCTCACACACTTGCCTGTGTATCTGCTAAGTAGATAATATTGACCTGATTTATTTGTACCAAGCCTGGGCTCCAAGTGTGAACCCTCAAGACAGTAATAAATGGGTCACAGCAAGCTGGAGACACCATCTTCCAAGGGTTGTCCTTCTGTTTTGACTGACAGCTTGTGTGTGTTTTATAGTTGTTGAAAATCTTTGCAGTATAAAGTCTTAATTGCTTTAAGGCAAACTTCAGAAGCTTGAGAGCTCCCTGGTTCCTATGCACTTTGAAAATCAGCCCGCTTTTCTGAAGGGAAAATGTCGTCTCAGGAGCTTTGATGTGTGTGCAGGCGAACCTTGGAGGCACGTTTAAAACCTGTGTCACCAGTGGCAGAAGAATTTCATTGAAAGGGACACAGAGTCACTGAAAGCTCTGGCTCTCAACATGGGAGCATATTACTGAACTTTGGACGTCTTCTTTCAGCAAACAAAACCTGGAAGGAAACAAAAACGATCCACATTTTATTTTATTTTATTTTATTTTGCCCTGAAAAATGAAAAAGAAGAAGAAGAAGAAGAAAAAAAAAAACCTTCTGGGTTTGTTGGAACTACTGCCTCCCCCTCCCCCACCAAGGCCAGGTCCTCCCTGGATCCCCCACCCCCAAATAAAATAGGCCTGTGGGGAGCCTGGAGTGAGTCACTCCCTGGCAGAGAGCCCCACAGCAAACATTTGGGAAGGTTCTTGCCTAACTTCCCAGAAGAAAAGGCCCAGGATTTAAAATGGTCCCTGTGGTTTGTCAGCCTCTGCGCCCCGTCTGCTTCGGAAATGACTAAAAAGTACTTTCTATCTGTACAAAATCAAGTCTCAGACATAAGTAGCAGCCAGGTTGGTCTGGATTTAGAGCTGTTCACGTTTCCAGAAATGGAGCTCCTGGCTTTACCAGGTGGCATTTCTGGTGAGATTGAGCAAGGAAGGAGGGATAGGGGAGGAAACTCACTTATGGAAACCCTCTGTGTGCTAGGATCGGTCTGGGGGTCCCTTACCCCCACTCCCCCATCCCCCCATGGTCCTAGGCTGCAGAAAGTGGCCTTTGGTTTTACTCACAAGACAACTGAGGCGCAGAGAGGTAAATCAAGCCTGTGTCCTGGGACTGCTGAGAGGTGGGGGTGGTGGCTCAGTCCTGAGTCACCTGCCTTTCTTGCAACCCTTTCTTTTTCCATTGCCTCAGGACATGACATTTGACTTCCTAAGGTACACAGAGTGGGGGCTGAGGGCTTTAAAGCACATACACTTGATTCATTCTTACCTTGAGGTACGAGTTACCTCCATTTTACAGATGAGAGAACTACAGCTCAGAGAGACATCAAAGTAACACTGTGAATAACGGTCCTTACTTGTTGGTCAGACATACCAGGCCAGACCACAGAGAACATGTCAAGCATGGTGCTCAAAGCTTCATGTACCTTATTTTACTCCATCCGCTCACTAACACTCTGAGAACTGTGTGATGCCTGTTTTACAGCTGAGAAAACTGAGAACAGAGAGATTACATAGTGCACCAAAGATTACCTGCTCACAGGCAGTAGCCCCTGGATTTGAACCCAGGCTTGTCTATGCAGAGACCATAATCTTCCCACTGGTCTTGGAAATTCAACCCAATGAGGCAGGATCATGAACTGGCAAGTGGCAAAGGCAGGATTCGAACTCATGTTTCTGATTCATGTGTTCTTAATCTTGAACCACATGGGCTGCCTTTGTTGTGCTTTCCTCCTCTCATGCACGGCAAAGCCAATTGGTTGTGACAGGCCAAGTTCCTGCAGGGCCAGCTGGGCTCCAGCCTCCTGGGAGTGAAGTCCGCTGGCCTTCCTGTCCACTCTAGCACCTCTGGTGTGAATGACCAATGCCCAGGCCAGAGCCACCAGGGAGAAAGGGCTGCAGTTCACATTTGGCTTTTCTTTTCCAAGTGCCAAGGATCAGTTTCAGAAGAGAAGTGTCCAAACAGTTGTCAAAAAGAGCATACTTCCTTCCTCTTCTTGGCCTGGACCAAGCAAGGGAGGTGGAGGGTGGAGGACCCTGGTGAGTCATCCAAGATTAGATACAGGTTGGCACCTCCAGGCTGTGTGGGCACAAAGCCATATTCTGGCCTAGCAAGAGCCCAGGGTTCCAACCCTGGGGATACAGTTACCTGCACAGGGCCTCACTTTCCGTTCTGAATATCTGGCAGCATGATCATGTCTATGAAGGCTTCTTGTCACCTGTCATTTCAGTCCTAGGCCTGTCCCTGTTCCTCATTCATTTCCATTTCTGCTAAGAGTCCTGTGTGCGGACCTGTGTGGTCTGGGCTGGGCCTCTGTGAGTGGCCCCTGGTGTTGAAAGGATAAAGCATTCCTCTCCCAAGAATATTCTGCAAATTGATGAACATTTGCAGATTGCTTCGAGATGCGTTAATTTGAGGTGTGAAATAATAGATCTTGTGCGAAGGCTCAGCCACATTTCTGGCATTGATGGAGTTCTCTCCCGTCTGGCCTGTGATTTGGGGAGGTAAAAATAGGCCTTGTTTCTACATATTTGTCTTTTTTTTTTTTTTCTTTTTTTGCTGACATCATTCTTAAGAAGCAAGGTACATGTGCCATGGAAGTTCCCTAGGCTGTCCAACACCTGGGAACTTGATGCTCTGGGGAGCAAGTTGCTCTTGGAGTGAGGATGGGGGGCTTCTGGGCTTGTCTGGACGCCCCTGGGTGTCTGTAAAGGGCTTTGAAGTGAGTGGGCAGTAGACAGCCAGACCAGCAACAGACTGCCAAAGACCTCTGTGGCTTTTTGGTCTTTGCCCATTCTTCTCATTTTTGACTCTCAGGTAACAGCAAGCTCACTTTTTGGGAAACTATTAGTTGAAAAAGAAAAACAAACAAACAAACAAAAAATACAGGCCAGCAGCTTTCCCCATTCCTGTCGGAATTGGGTGACACAGTACTCTTATTTGGCCAAACTTGAATTAAGCTAATGGCCTTCTCAGACCCAATGTCCAGACAGAGGTGACATTGGGGCACATCAGTTAGTGATGTAATTTCCTGTGACATTAACTTTGGGAACTTGAACTTGAGCATGAGCTAGTGTTTTGACATCTGTCCCTCTAAAAAGACTTGCTTATGTGAAAACACCCACATACACAGGCCTCACCATTGTCTTCAGTTCTGGATTTTTCCACAGGTGTTTTTTCGTGTTGTCTGGTGGAAAAGGTACCAGTCTTGTAGCCAGGCTTCTTGGCTTCCAGCCCCTAAACCCAGTGGCTGCCATCCCTGGAGCTGGGCACGGGAGGGGGGCAATTAGAATTGAAGGTGGGGCTGCTGGGGTCTGACATGCTTTCAGTTCCAACGGCCTTGATCTGTGTGGAGCTGTTCTTTCTTTCTCTTAGACATCTGCGTGGTGGTGACCTCATAGAAAAGAAAAAGGGGGCTTTGTGCAGGAATTCCATAGAGTGTGAAGGAATTCTGACGGGGGAAGGGGATGGGAAGTTGCCATGGGGAGTCTGCAGTGGCTGCTTTTCCCCCTAATTGTTTAACCCTCACACTTCAAAATCAGGCTTGACCCTGGCAAGGACTCTGTTTAATAGAACTCCACATCCCCAGTTGGAATAGAGGCTGCTGGGATTCGGTCCTTAGTTGTTCTCTTGCTGCAGGTGGCTGGCAGGGCTGGAATTTATTCATGACCCTTTTTTCCCATGTCTGCCTTCTCTATTCCTTGTCTTCAAATCCTTTCAAACTGGGGGTTTCTGGGAAGAGAACTGCAAAGGGACGAAATTACTTTGGCAGTGACTTTCAACTCTGGTCCATCCAAGCCAGGCCTCAGAATGTAGAGTAGAGCATCACACCAGAGCCCAGGTGGAAGAGACCACTGGGGTTATTTATGGTGGGCTTCTGGGATTAGAAGGACTCTTGCCACCTACCCTAATGGACCATTTCACAGAAAGGAAACTGAGGCACTGAGAGGGATAAGCACTCACTTTCAGTCACATCAAAAAACTTGAGTTTTGGCACCACATGGAGTGAGGGTCAAGTCGTTCACTGCTCTCAGCCTCAGTTGACCCATTGGGACACTTATACTCAATGCCTTGTG